AGCTTCATGTCTCGAACCTCCCGTCTTTGGAATTCCCTTCGTATTGCTTGTTTCCCTGATAGTTATCATCTCCAACTATTCAAATGTAATGTCAATCGACATCTCTAGAAGCCTTGATCTGTTCCCTGTCCTTCTCTTCATCCTTTCCTCTATCACGCCTCTTTATTCTCATTCTCACTCTCTGTAAACCCTTGCATGCTAGTGGCATCCTGCCTTCCTTGGGGTGAAATGCTTAAAAAAAAATATCAAATTTCCACACATATTTCTTTTAATAAAAGTAAGAGCAAAACTAAAAATATACAAGTGAACCATTATTTTTCCCTATCTATAAAATCAATTCAGATGAGTGGAAAATACTTTTAATACAGCATGGCATTTTTACGACATTGAAAGTCCAAGGAGGTAATTTGAGTAGAGGAGATTTCAAGATGGCAGATTGGGACAATACTTACCAAATCTGTCACTTACAACTTGATAAGATTTCAAAGCCTCCCTTGTCTTTTGAAAACATTGCTCAATTCTTGGTGTCAGTATATGACCAAACGCAACGGTGTTTGAATCAATAATCTAAGCTCTTATAACCAAGAGTTTTATTGGAGTATTTCATTTCTCTGATATAAATCCAAATTTGTATTATACCCTATTTTGTTCTGCTGCAAAGATGTCAACTGAGAATTGGAATCAGAAATCTGACAGACTTGACAAAACTAAATCCCATTTCTTATTTAAATAATATGGAAAAAGAATAGGAGGCATCTCTCTTGTCAATATTTATATAAGTTTCGGCTTGGCTGTTGCGGAGGTTGTTTTTGATTTACAAAGTAAGAGAAATTTTATTCCACAGATTCTGAAGAGTAAAGAAAGGGAAGGAGATGACGGGTAATGTTTGATTGGGTGGAATTGGGATGGGGCTCTGGGCTACGCAAAATCAAATCATGGAAATTCCACAGAGTTTTACAGAGGTAATGATAACATTTATCATTCTAACTGGAAAAATATTACAGTACATGTTTTCAGGGTAGAGAGTAAGGTTGATCGAAAAAGGAAAAGATAGGAAGAAAATAGAGAGAGATAGAGAGAGAAGAAAGAGGGAAAAGGAGGATAAAAAGAAAGTAGAGAGAGAGAAGAGAAAAAAAGAATAGAGAGCATCGATGAATGAGAGAAAGAAGAGCGAATAAAAGTAACCATAGAAAGAGGAAAGAAGAAATAGAATAAAGAGACAGGAAAGGGAGAGAAAGAACAGAGGATGAAGAGAAAGTATAAACATAGAGAGAGAGAGAGAAGAAAAAGGGAAAAGGAGGATAAAAAGAAAGTAGAGAGAGAAGAGAAATAAAGAATAGAGAGCAAGAAGAAAAGAGAGTAAGAAGACAGAACAAAGAGAAGTTGTATGTTAATATTTAGGACCATTTGTAGATGTCTGATTATTAACATGACCACACGATTTATTTTTACCGTAAAATACCACAAAATATGAAACACAAGAAGGAACAAAAACGGTTTTATAACAACAAAATTTATATTTATTTTTTGTGTAATGATGTATATGCATAGAGGTTGCTATTTGTTGGTGTTATGTCCCTTTGATTGAATTAAAGTTTTACTGATTAGATTGAAATATTTTTATCTGAGCTCACAAAAGTTGAATGAATTATAAAGCTGAAAAATGCTGAATAAACTGTAGCTTTAGTAAAGTATTTCAAAGAGAAAAGTTCTTGTTGCATGTTTGGAAATGTTTTGTATGTTTGAAATGTAGCTTGGAAAATTTTGTACATACGTGCATGCATGAATATGTTTTTAACATCTGACCACACATGGTCGAGACGGGATCCTTTAAGGTTACATCTTTGCAGGAAAAGAGAAGAAGAAGAGAAAGAACAAGCTTGTGTCTGCTATTTATAACTAATGTAATCACGTGACAGGCTCCCATGTAAATGGCAGGAAAACTTAACTTGGTGACGCGCTGGAAAAATATTAGTACGTGGACGGATTGCAATATCCACTTGTGTGTTTATTAACCAATTAGAAGTTGATATTTCCTGAAAATCTGGATGAAGCTGGGTAAGCTTTTGATCCGCTTTTTTTGCACAGATTTGTACAAAATTTAATATTGATAAGAAAGTGGTAGGGGGATGCTAAAAAGTAAACACAGAGGGAGGAAAGAGAAAAACAAATAAAGAGCCAGGAAGAGTAAGAGAATCTATGAGAGAATGAAGGGAAAGTAAATGTAGAGAAAGAGAGAGGGGGAGAGGAGAGAGAAAAATGAATAGTGAGCAGCAAGGAAAGGGAGGAAGATGAGAGAGAATGAAATTGAAAGTAATCATAGAGAGGAAAGAAGTTGAGGGTGAAAAAAGGGAAAAACGAGTAGCTGAGAGAGTTATAAAGAATAAAAACTAAAGAACAGGATGGAAAGAGAGAAAGAAGAGGTGATGAAAAAATATAGCAAATGGAAAGAAGAAAAACATTTACAACTGGTGTGGAGGGGAGAGCAAATGATAATATGAGAAGAAATAAAAATAGAGAGAGAGAGAGAGAAAGGTAAGAAAAAAAGGAGAGCAAGGATGAGAGAACAAGAGATTTGGTTTGGTGCTCTTAGAAATTCTTGAAAAAATCCAAAGATGAATCTGCAATATTATTGGTCCTGACTAGGCATCTCAGCTTCAATCCCTTTCCCACCACTGTAATGTAGCTTCCCTGTGCCTTTTCTATAAATGCTTTCATGGTAATTGTTCTTTCCTTTTACCCTTAGCTGGTGGAGCACTAGCCACTTTATGGTTGAAGTAGTGGGAAAAAACTAATTTTCAAAATTGACGATGTGGAATCTGAAAATTACTGGTACATTTAACCTACAGCTAACAGTAAAAAAGAGATAAAGCAATTTGTTAAGACATCTAAAACATTTTTGGCTTAAATTACACTTTTCTGTTGACAACTGTTAATGAGCTGCCATATTGTTTTTGTGTTATGATGGCTGTTATCATGGCTACTAGAGACAATTTGTTCCTGCACTATTTTCTCAGCCACCAAACAAGAATATTGAATATTTGCTACATTTCTTTAAAATAATAGCTTAGTACTGTACAAACTTAAAGTTTGTCAATAATATTAAAATTATTTTAAATAAATTCATACTGTAAATGGTATTCTTATTTGGTATTTTATTTAAAATAAATCCAAATGTAAAAAACATGATTTATTTTCTTAAATACTGTTATTTCTAATTCATAAAAACTGTAATTTTGGCTGTTAAATGACCAAATTTTGTGTGGGCAGCCGGTTTGATATGTCTGCTCTAAAATTCAGTAAGTCTGTTGTATCCTAGAGGGCGTTATTATTGCCATGCTTGGGGTGAAGTGATTATAAAAAATGTAGATGAGGAAAAGAAAATTTAAAAAAAAGAGGAAAAATAGAGAAAAGGTTCTGAAGAAATAAAAAAGAAGGGCAGATGAGAAAAATGTAAAGATAGAGAGAGGAAAGAACAAAAGAACAGAAAACATACAAGTCAAAAAAGAGATAAAAAAGAAAAAGAGGATAGAGAGAGAGTAAGCAGTGAAGAATGAAAAAAAGAGAGCAGTTAAGAGTAAAGATTTTAACATATGATAAGGGAATGAAAAATGGAGATAAGAAACAACAAGCAGGGGTATAAGAAGGGGGCATTGATAATGACAGAGAAGGAAAAAATAGAGAGAGAGAAGAAGCAGGGGAGTAAGGTGGATGGGGGATTCATAAAGACACAGAAGGAAAAAATAGAAAGAGAGAAGAAGCAGGGGAGTAAGGGGGATGGGACATTGATAAAGTCACAGAAGGAAAAATTAGAAAGAGAGAAGAAGCAGGGGAGGAAGGGGGATGGAACATTGATAAAGTCACAGAAGGAAAAAATAGAAAGAGAGAAGAAGCAGGGGAGTAAGGGGGATGGGGCATTGATAAAGACACAGAAGGAAAAAAAAGAAATAAAGGAGGACCAGGGGTGAAGGGCATTGATAAAAACAGAAGGAAAAATTAGAAAGAGAGAAGAAGCAGGGGAGTAAGTGGGATGGAACATTGATAAAGTCACAGAAGGAAAAAATAGAAAGAGAGAAGAAGCAGGGGAGTAAGGGGGATGGGGCATTGATAAAGACACAGAAGGTAAAATTAGAAAGAGAGAAGAAGCAGGGGAGTAAATGGGACGGGGCATTGATAAAGACACAGAAGGAAAAAAAAAGAAATAAAGGAGGACCAGGGGTGTAAGTGGGAGAAGGCATTGATAAAGACACAGAAGGAAAAATTAGAAAGAGAGAAGAAGCAGGGGAGGGGGGGGATGGAACATTGATAAAGAAACAGAAGGAAAAAATAGAAAGAGAGAAGAAGCAGGGGAGTAAGGAGGATGGGGGCATTGATAAAGACACAGAAGGAAAAAAAGAAAGGAGAAGAATTAGAGAAGGAGGACCAGGAGTAAGGGGGAGGCATTGATAAAGACACAGAAGGTAAAATTAGAAAGAGAGAAGAAGCAGGGGAGTAAGGAGGATGGGGCATTGATAAAGACACAGAAGGAAAAAAAAAGAAAGAAGAAGGCATTGATAAAGACACAGAAGGAAAAATTAGAAAGAGAGAAGAAGCATTGGGGAAGGAAAAAAAAAAAGAAATAAAAGGAGGATTGATATTGAAAAGACACAGAAGGAAAAATTAGAAAGAGAGAAGAAGCAGGGGAGTAAGGGGATGGAACATTGATAAAGACACAGAAGGAAAAAAAGAGAGAAGAAGCAGGAGTAGGGGGGACAAGAAGGGATGGAAATAAAGGAGGACCAGGGGTGGGGGCGGGAGAAGGCATAAAGACACAGAAGGAAAATTAGAAAGAGAGAAGAAGGGAGGAAGTGGATGGGAACATTGATAAAGTCACAGAAGGAAAAAATAGAAAGAGAGAAGAAGCAGGGGAGTAAGGGGATGGGGGGCATTGATAAAGGAAGGAAAAAAAAGAAATAAAAAAGGAGGACATTGAGAAGGCATAAAAGACACAGAAGGAAAAATTAGAAAGAGAGAAGAAGCAGGGAGGAAGTGGGATGAAACATTGATAAAGTCACAGAAGGAAAAAATAGAAAGAGAGAAGAAGCAGGGGAGGGGAGGAAGGGGCATTGAAAGGAAGAAAAAAAAAAGAAATAAAGGAGGCATTGATAAATTGATAAAGACACAGAAGGGAAAATTAGAAAGAGAGAGAAGGAGCAGGGGGAAAGGCATTGATAAAGTGGGAAAGAGAGAAGAAGCAGGGGAGTGGAGGATTGATAAAGACACAGAAGGAAAAAAAAAAAGAAAGGAGGACCAGGGGTGTAAGTGGGAGAAGGCATTGATAAAGACACAGAAGGAAAAATTAGAAAGAGAGAAGAAGCAGGGGAGTAAGTGGGATGGAACATTGATAAAGTCACAGAAGGAAAAATAGAAAGAGAAGAAGCAGGGGAGTAAGGGGGATGGGGGTGATTGAAAAACAGAGAAGGAAAAAAAAAAGAAAAAGAAATAAAGGAGGACCAGGGGTAAGGGACACAGAAGGAAAAAAAAAAAGAGAGAAGAAGCAGGGGAGGAAGGGATGGAATAAAAAGACACAGAAGGAAAAAAAATAGAAAGAGAGAAGAAGCAGGGGAGTAAGGAAGGAAAATTAGATTGATAAAAGACATTGAAGGGGAGAAGGCATTGATAAAAGACACAGAAGGAAAAAAAAAGAGAGAAGAAGCAGGGGAGTAAGAAGATAAAGACAGAAGGGAGAAGAAGCAGGGGAGTAAGGGGATGGGGCATTGATAAAGACAGACAAGAATGATAAAATTAGAAAAAATAGAAAGAAGAAGCAGGGGGAGGGGGATGGAACAGATAAAGACAATAGAAGGAAAAATTAGAAAGAGAAAGAAGCAGGGAGTAAGGGGATGATTGAAAAGACACAGAAGGAAAAAAAAAAAGGAAATAAAGGAGGACCAGAAGGCATGTAAGTGGGAGAAATTAGATTGATAAAGACAAAGAGAAGGAAAAATTGATAAAGAACAGAAGGAAAAGAAGGGGACACAGAAGGAAAAAAAAATAAGGGGGATGGGAGATTGATAAAGACACAGAAGGAAAAATTAGAAAGAGAAGAAGCAGGGAGGGAATTGAGATGGAAAAAATGGAGGGACGAGGGCATTGATAAAGACACAGAAGGAAAAAAAAAAAAAAATAAAGAAGGAAAATTAGGGAGAAGTAATAAGAGAGGATTGATAAAGACACAGAAGGAAAAATTAGAAAGAGAGAAGAAGCATTGGGATAAAGATAAAGACACAGAAGGAAAAAAAGAGAGAAGAGAGGGAGAAAGCGGGAAATATTGATAAAGGAAGGAAAAAAGAAAGAAAGAACCAGGGGAGGGGGATGGGGCATTGATAAAGACACAGAAGGAAAAAAAAGAAAGAGAGAAGAAGCAGGGGTAGTAAATGGGATGGAACATTGGAGGATTGATAAAGACACAGAAGGAAAAAAGAAAGAGAGAAGAAGCAGGGGAGTAAATGGGGAGGGCATTGATAAAGACACAGAAGGAAAAATTGATAAAGAACAGAAGGAAAAATAAAGAAAGAAGGAGAGAAGAAGCAGGGGAGAAGGGGATGGAACATTGATAAAGACACAGAAGGAAAAAATTAGAAAGAGAGAAGAAGCAGGGGAAAGATAAAGGAAGGAAAAAAAGACATTGGGCATTGAAGGAAAAAAGAAAGAAGGAAAAAAATAGAAAGAGAGAAGAAGCAGGGGAGTAAGGAGGACGGGGCATTGATAAAGACACAGAAGGAAAAAAAAGAAAGAAGAAAGAAGAAGCAGGGGGTGAGGGGTGGGCATTGATGAGAGAAGAAGCAGGGAGTAGGCATTGAAAAAAAAAGAAGAAGAAGCAGGGGAGTAAGGGGATGGGGCATTGATAAAGACACAGAAGGTAAAACAAGAAGGAAAAAAAAAAAAAAAGAGAAAAAACATTGATAAAGGGGGATGGGAAAAAAAAATAAAGTCACAGAGAAGAAGAAGAAAGCAGGGAAGGAAAATTAGAAAGGGGGGGAGATGGGGCATTGATAAAGACACAGAAGGAAAAAAAAAGAAATAAAGGAGGACCAGGGGTGTAAGTGGGAGAAGGCATTGATAAAGACACAGAAGGAAAAATTAGAAAGAGAGAAGAAGCAGGGGAGTAAGTGGGATGGAACATTGATAAAGTCACAGAAGGAAAAAATAGAAAGAGAGAAGAAGGGGGAGCATTGATAAAGGGGGAGAGAGAAGAAAAGGGGAAAAAAGAAATGGGGAGCAGGGTGTATTGATAAAGACACAGAAGGAAAAAAAGAAAAGAGAAGAAGCAGGGGGAGTAAAGGGGACGGGGTATTGATAAAGACACAGAAGGAAAAATAGAAAAAAGAAGCAAAAGGGAGGACCAGGGGGATGGGTTGATAAAGGGAGAAGGAAAAAAGAGAGAAAAGAGAGAAGAAAAAATAGCAGGGAGGAAAGGGGATGGGGCATTGATAAAGACACAGAAGGAAAAAATAGAAAGAGAGAAGAAGCAGGGGAAGGAAGGGGATGGAGGAAGAAGCAGGGGAGTAAGGGATTGATAAAGACACAGAAGGAAAAAAAAAAAAGAAAGAAGCAGGGGAGTAAAGGGGTATTGATAAAGACAGGACCAGAAGGGGGGAGTGTAAGGAAAAAAGGGAGAAGGCATTGATAAAGACACAGAAGGAAAAAAGAAAGAGAGAAGAAGCAGGGGAGTAAGGGGATGGAAACATTGATAAAGTCACAGAAGGAAAAAAATAGAAAGAGAGAAGAAGAGAAGAAGGAACATTGATAAAGGGGAAAAAAAGAAGGGGATGGGGCATTGATAAAGACACAGAAGGAAAAATTAGAAAGAGAAGGATAAAGGGGAGTAAAAATAGAGGGATGATTGATAAAGACACAGAAGGAAAAAAAGAAGGAAAAAAATAAAGAGAGAAGAAGCAGGGGAGTAAGTGGGATGGAACATTGATAAAGTCACAGAAGGAAAAAATAGAAAGAGAGAAGAAGCAGGGGAGTAAGGGGGATGGGGCATTGATAAAGACACAGAAGGAAAAATTAGAAAGAGAGAAGAAGAAGACAAGAAGGGGAAAAGGAAATGATAAAGGAAGGAAAAAGACACAGAAGAAAGAGAGAAGAAGCGGGAGTGGGGATGGGGCATGATAAAGACACAGAAGGAAAAAAAGAAATAAAGGAGGACCAGGGGTGTAAGTGGGAGAAGGCAAAATAAAAGACAAGAGAAGGAAAAAAAACACAGAAGGAAAAAGAAATAAAGAGGTAAGGGGGGGGGGGGTACTGATAAAGACACAGAAGGAAAAAATTAGAAAGGAAGAAGCAGGGGAGTAAGGAGGATGGAACATTGGGGATGGAACATTGATAAAGTCACAGAAGGAAAAATAGAAAGAGAGAAGAAGCAGGGGAGTAAGGAGGGATGGGGCATTGATAAAAAAAGAAATACACAGAAGGAAAAAAAGACACAGAAGGAAAAATTAGAAAGAGAGAAGAAGCAGGGGAGTAAGGGGGAAGGAACATTGATAAAGACACAGAAGGAAAAAAAATAGAAAAGAAAGGAAGAAGGGGGGGGAGAGTAAAGACACAGAAGGAAAAATGGGGGACATTGATAAAGACACAAAAGGAAAAAAAAGAAGGAAAAGCAAAAGGAAAAAGAAAGGAAAAAAAAAGAGAAGAAGCAGGGGAGAAGGCATTGATAAAGACACAGAAGGAAAAAATAGAAAGAGAGAAGAAGCAGGGAGTAAGGAGGATGGGCATATTGATAAAGGGATGGAACATTGATAAAGACACAGAAGGAAAAAAAAAGAAAGAAGCAGAGAAAAAGAAGCAGGGGAGTAAAAGACACAAAATGGGGCATTGATAAAGACACAGAAGGAAAAAAAAAGAAAGAAGGAGGACCAGGGGAGTGAGAAGGGGACGGGGCATTGATAAAGACACAGAAGGAAAAATTAGAGAGAAGAGAGAAGAAGGAAAAATTAGGAAAGAGAGAAGAAGCAGGGGAAATGGGGCATTGATAAAGACACAGGAAAAAAGAAATAAAGGGAAAGAAGGCATTGATAAAAGAGAAGAGAAGGAAAATTAGAAAGAGAGAAGAAGCAGGGGGAAAATTAGGGATGGGGTAAATGATAAAGACACAGAAGGAAAAAAAAAAAAAAAAAATAAAAGAGGGAGGAAAGAAGCAGATAAAGACCAGGGAAAAAAAAGAGTAAGTGGGAGAAAAGAAACATTGATAAAGACACAGAAGGAAAAATTAGAAAAGAGAGAGAAGAAGCAGGGGAAAATAAGGGGGATGGGGACATGGATAAAGATACAGAAGGAAAAAATAGAAAGAGAGAGAAGAAGCAGGGGAGTAAAGACACAGGGGATGGAACATTGATAAAGTCACAGAAGGAAAAATTAGAAAGAGAGAAGAAGCAGGGGAGTAAATGGGAAGAAGCAGGGGAGTAAGGGGGATGGGCATTGATAAAGACACAGAAGGAAAAAAAAAGAAATAAAGGAGGACCAGGGGACACAGAAGGAAAAGAAAATAAAGTGGAGAAGGCATTGATAAAGACACAGAAGGAAAAAAATTAGAAAGAGAGAAGAAGCAGGGGAGGAAGGGGATGGAAAGGTATTGATAAAAGTCACAGAAGGAAAAATAGAAAGAGAGAAGAAGCAGGGGAGTAAGGGGGATGGGGCATTGATAAAGACACAGAAGGTAAAATTAGAAAGAGAGAAGAAGCAGGGGAGTAAATGGGACGTGGCATTGATAAAGACACAGAAGGAAAAAAAAAAGAGAAAGAAAGGGGAGGTGGATGGAAATATTGACCAGGAGAGAAGAAGCAGGGGAGTGGGGGAAAGGGGCATTGATAAAGACACAGAAGGAAAAAATTAGAAAGAGAGAAGAAGCAGGGAGGAAGGGGATGGAACATTGATAAAAGACACAGAAGGAAAAAAAGAAAGAGAAGAAGCAGGGGAGTAAGGGGGATGGGGCATTGATAAAGACACAGAAGGAAAAAAAAAAAGAAAGAGAGAAGGAGAGGGGAGTAAGGGGACGGGGCATTGATAAAAGACACAGAAGGAAAAAAGAAATAAAGGAGGAGAAGGTGGGGGAGGGAGGGGACACAGAAGAAAATTGATAAAGTCACAGAAGGAAAAAATAGAAAGAGAGAAGAAGCAGGGGAGTAAGGGGGATGGGGCATTGATAAAGACACAGAAGGAAAAATTAGAAAGAGAGAAGAAGCAGGGGAGTAAATGGGACGGGGCATTGATAAAGACACAGAAGGAAAAAAAAAGAAATAAAGGAGGACCAGGGGTGTAAGTGGGAGAAGGCATTGATAAAGACACAGAAGGAAAAATTAGAAAGAGAGAAGAAGCAGGGGAAGGAAAAAAATAGGGGAGAAGAAGCATTGATATTGACAAGAAGAAGGAAAAATTAGAAAGAGAGAGAGAAGAAGCAGGGGAAGGAAAAAAAGAAAATAAGGAAGGGACAGGGCATTGATAAAGACACAGAAGGAAAAAAAAAGAAATAAAGGAGGACCAGGGGTGTAAGTGGGAGAAGGCATTGATAAAGACACAGAAGGAAAAATTAGAAAGAGAGAAGAAGCAGGGGAGGAAGGGGGATGGAACATTGATAAAGTCACAGAAGGAAAAAATAGAAAGAGAGAAGAAGCAGGGGAGTAAGGGGATGGGGCATTGATAAAGACACAGAAGGAAAAAAAAAAAAAAAAAAGAAGAAGAAAAGGAGGAGGGATAAAGACACAGAAGGAAAAAAAAGAAAGAGGGAGAAGTAAGTGGCATTGATAAAGACACAGAAGGAAAAAAAGAAAAAGAGAAGAGAGAAGAAGATAAAGACAGGGAAAAATTAGAAAGAGAGAAGGGGATGGAACATTGATAAAGTCACAGAAGGAAAAAAAATAGAAAGAGAGAAGAAGCAGGGGAGTAAGGGGGATGGGGGATTGATAAAGAAGCAGGGGGAAGGAAAAAAAGAAGAAAAAAAAGAGAGAAGAAGCAGGGGGAGTAAATGGGACGGGGGGGATTGATAAAAGACACAGAAGGAAAAAAAAGAAATAAAGGAGGACCAGGGGTGTAAGTGGGAGAAAGGCATTGATAAAGACACAGAAGGAAAATTAGAAAGAGAGAAAAAGCAGGGGAGGGGAGAAGGGGATGGAACATTGATAAAGTCACAGAAGGAAAAAATTAGAAAGAGAGAAGAAGGGGAGTAAATGGGACAGGGCATTGATAAAAACACAGAAGGAAAAAAAAGAAATAAAGGAGGACCAGGGGTGTAAAAAAAAGTGGAGGAAGGCATTGATAAAAGACACAGAAGGAAAAATTAGAAAGAGAGAAGAAGCAGGGGAGAAGGGGGATGGAACATTGATAAAGTCACAGAAGGAAAAAATAGAAAGAGAGAAGAAGAAGGGGGGAGGGGTAATAAAGGGGAAAAATGGGGCATTGATAAAGACACAGAAGGAAAAAAAAAATAAAGGAGAAAATAAAGACACAGAAGGAAAAAAAAGAAAGAGAGAAGTAGCAGGGGAGGAAGGGGATGGGGCATTGATAAAGACACAGAAGGAAAAAATTAGAAAAAAGAAGACCAGGAGAGAGATAAAGAACAGAAGGAAAAATTAGAAAGAGGGAGGAAGGGGATGGAACATTGATAAAGTCACAGAAGGAAAAAATAGAAAGAGAGAAGAAGCAGGGGAGTAAGGGGGATGGGGCATTGATAAAGACACAGAAGGTAAAATTAGAAAGAGAGAAGAAGAAGAGAGGGGGGGAGTAAGTGGGAGAAGGGCATTGATAAAGACACAGAAGGAAAAAAAGAAATAAAGGAGAAGCAGGGGGAAGAAGGCATTGATAAAGACACAGAAGGAAAATTAGAAAGAGAGAAGAGGGGAGGAAGGGGATGGAATTGAAACAGAAGGAAAAATTAGAAAGAGAGAAGAAGCAGGGGAGGATGGAAATTGAAAAAGACACAGAAGGAAAAATAGAAAGAGAGAAGAAGCAGGGGAGTAAGGGGAATTGATAAAGACACAGAAGGAAAAAAAAAAAAGAAATAAAGGAAGGGGTAAGGGGAGAAGGCATTGATAAAGACACAGAAGGAAAATAGAAAGAGAGAAGAAGATGGAGGGATTCATAAAGACACAGAAGGAAAAAATAGAAAGAAAAGAGAGAAGAATTGATAAAGACAGGGGAGTAAGGGGGAAGGAAAAAAAGGGGGGACCAGGGGGGTATGGGAGAAGGCATTGATAAAGACACAGAAGGAAAAAAAAGAAAGAGAAAAGACAGGGGAGAGAAGGGGGATGGGGCATTGATAAAGACACAGAAGGAAGGAAAAAAAATAAATAAAACACAGAAGGAAGGACAAAGAGAAAAAGTAAGGGGGGAAGGCATTGATAAAGACACAGAAGGAAAAAAAGAGAAAGAGAGAAGAAGCAGGGGAAAGGGGATGGGGCATTGATAAAGACAGAAGGAAAAAATAGAAAGAGAGAAGAAGCAGGGGAGTAAATGGAAGGGCATTGATAAAGACACAGAAGGGAAATAAAAGAGGAAGGGGTGTAAGGAGAAGGCATTGATAAAGACACAGAAGGAAAAATTAGAAAGAGAGAAGAAGCAGGGGGTAAGGGGGAATAAAGGCATTGATAAAGACACAGAAGGAAAAAAATAAAGAAAAAGAAGAAGAAGGGGGATGGGGCAGATAAAGGAAGGAAAAAAAAAAATAGAGAATGGGGCATTGATAAAGACACAGAAGGAAAAATAGAAAGAGAGAAGAAGAGGGGAGTAAGGGGATGGGGATGGGGCATTGATAAAAGACACAGAAGAAGGAAAAAAATAAAAAAAAAGGAAAAAAAGAGAGAAGAACCAGGGGGAGTAAGGGGAGTTGATAAAGAAGGCATTGATAAAAAGACACAGAAGGAAAAATAGAAAGAGAAAGAAGCAGGGGTCAGGGGGATGGGGAGAAGGCATTGAAGGGGGAAAATAGGCATTGATAAAGACACAGAAGGAAAAATAAAGAAGAAGGAAAAAATAGAGAGAAGAAGCAGGGGAATAAGGGGATGGGGCATTTGATAAAGACACAGAAGGAAAAATAGAGAGAAGAAGGAAGGGGAGTAAGGGGATGGGGGCATAAAGACACAGAAGGAAAAATAGAAAGAAAGAAGAACCAGGGGTGTAAGGGAGAAGGCATTGATAAAGACACAGAAGGAAAAAAATACAAAGAGAGAAGAATAAGGGGGAGAAGGCATTGATAAAGACACAGATGGAAAAAATTAATAGAAGAAGAAGAAAAATTGATAAAGTCACAGAAGGAGAAAATAGAGAGAAAGAAGGAGCAGGGGAATAAGGGGGACGTGACATTGATAAAGACACAGAAGGAAAAAATAGAAAGAGTGAAGAAGCATGGGAGTAAGGGGGAGGTGGCATTGATAAAGACACAAAGGATAAAAGAGAAAGAGAGAAGAAGCGGGGGAGTAAGGCCGATGGAACATTGATAAAGACACCGAAGGAAAAAATAGAGAGAGAGAAGAAGCAGGGGACTAAGGGGGACGGGGCATTGATAAAGACACAAAATTCTTAAAATAGAAAAAAATATTTTCTGGTTTTAAATAACCTGCAAAGGGTTGATAAATCATGAAAATCTTTTTAAAAATCAGTCTATGGTAGTTAATGCTAGAAAATTTCCTCAAAAATAAAGAAGAGATTGAGATAATAGAAATGTTCTTCTATAGGAGGTTTCCGAGAATACCAGAGAAATGACATGTGATCAAATGTGTTGCTGAGAATACCAGAGGAAGGACATGTGATTAAAGGTGATGCTGAGAATACCAGAGGAAGGACACGTGATCAAAGGTGATGCTGAGAATATTAGAGGAAGGACATATGATCAAAGGTGATGCTGAGAATACCAGAGGAAGGACACGTGATCAAAGGCGATGCTGCGAATACCAGAGGAAGGACATGTGATCAAAGGTGATGCTGAGAATACCAGAGGAAGGACACGGAATCAAAGGTGATGCTGAGAATACCAGAGGAAGGACACGTGATCAAAGGCGATGCTGCGAATACCAGAGGAAGAACATGTGATCAAAGGTGATGCTGAGAATACCAGAGGAAGGACACGGAATCAAAGGTGATGCTGAGAATACCAGAGGAAGGACATGTGATCAAAGGTGATGCTGAGAATACCAGAGGAAGGACACGGGATCAAAGTTGATGCTGAGAATACCAGAGAAAGGACACGTGATCAAAGGTGATGCTGAGAATACCAGAGGAAGGACATGTGATCAAAGGTGATGCTGAGAATACCAGAGGAAGGACATGTGATCAAAGGTGATGCTGAGAATACCAGAGGAAGGACATGTGATCAAAGGTGATGCTTTAAGGAAGATAGGAACTACAAGTAACCTTTACTTACAACAGTTGAAATTTCTGGGACACATAATGAGGAAAGAAGACTTGGAGAGTTTAACACTTATATGGTAAGAGAAGCAAGTGTAAATGGCAAGCAAGCTACATGAGTTTGAGTCAATGGAGAGAAGAGAAAGTACAAAGTGGCATCAAAGAAAAACAGAAGTTGTGGACAGACATGATTGACCAGATTCAGAAAAGGCAAATCTTAGAGACAAGAAAGCAATCATATAATTTAATTTTTAATCAAAACATTAAAGAATTCTGCTTGAATTTCTGTGATTAGCCATTATAATGATTCCCACGCAGACCTTTGTTCTCATCTTTGTTGTTGCTATCACAATGTTTCAACCATTGTGCTTTCCATCTTTCATCAGGTAATTATCGATCGAGGTACCCTTCAGGGAATTTTAGAATTCAGCCCTTTATTTAACCAACAGAGGTAGATTGTTCTTGTTCCACTGACCATGTCTTGAACTAGATAAGATATTACTAGACATGGGCCTTGGAATAAGTATAATCTACTCCTGTAGATGAAATAAAGGGTTACCCTGATGAGGGCTAGAGGGCATAATGACCGAAATATTGTGATAACAACAAAAAAAGATGAAGACAATAGACCCCATGTAAATCATTCTAAAACATAAACAAAAACTTTTCATTATAAATTTTGAAATGCAATTTGCTGTGTGTGTAACACCATCCAGGCTCTCAAATACAGGGTCTAACAATTCAATTAAATTTGTTGTCCAAGATACAAACAAAGTCTTAACTTACATTTTTGAAGAGATGAAAGATGCTGTAAATTAATTATTTTTTCAATAAGTGCAACTCAATTTGAAAAACATTGTCATAAAAATGTAGCACTTTATTTAATACAAAAATCTTTTGTTTGAGTTTTTAACCTAATAACTACACATTTTTTTATTGCCATAGCATTTTTATATTAAATAATATCATATTGTTATATAGGAAGGGATACTAAAAACTTTTTGGTGCTATCAGGGCTGGATTTAAGAGGTCTCTGGGCTAACAGAATTTGGAAGACCTTTTATTATGTATGTTTTCCCCCCCTGCCCATGTCGATAAAAAATAGATATATTTTTAGATGATACTTTTTTGGAGTAAAACACTAAAACACTTCAACTCCAATTTTTAATGATTTTGGAACTTATCCAATTTATTTCATTGGCAACTTCATGATTCATATTTTTATCCAAACGTTACATTTGACAGAAATGTATCCAGAATGAAAGACCTGTATTACATTGAAATTCTAGGGTTCAAATTCACTAGCAAAGCATTCTAAAAAAACAAAGATGGAGAAGGAAAATTCTGACTTGCCATCTGAGATCACCACAGCTCGTTAAAAGAAAAAGTTATATCAAAAATCTTTACGTATATAAAACATATGCATCAAAATCTAAATGAGGCCTCATCAAATTTAAAAGACCTGCTCCCACTAGTGGGTCCCAAATACTCTAAACTGTTTCAAATTAGAATCCCTATTAAATCTCTATTCTTATAACTTTATTTTTTATAGATTTATCAGGAACTTTAGGGGTGTTGGGACCCCTCAAGTCTTCAGGCCCTAGGGTTGCAGCTTGTACTAGCTCGTATGTAAATCTAAAATTGATTGCCACTCACTTCCCAAATTTGTTTTTGAAGAGCTTCTTGGCAGCGCAGCGAACCATCATATTAGTAATAAATAAAAAAACAATTTTGTTCATCCGTGTGTCTGAAACCCCTCTAAGTCAGACCACACTTGTTCTACATAGACATATTATAACTTTTTGGAATTAGGATGATGCCAGGATTGAAAATCTGCCCTTCATTTTGTACTTGAACATCCAGCATTGGGATTTGTGTTCAGCTGCTAAACATTCAAATTTTAAAATAACTGAGAATTAGTTATTTTTAAAGTTTTTAATTTATATTGAGTTTAAAGTAATACAAAACCTTTGTGAATTCAAAACTTTTTCTTTTAAATTTAGTTTAAAATATCTCCAAAACTTTATGAATTGAGGAAAATCAATTTTTTTTCTTCAAAATGCCAAGGAATCAGTGTTAAAGTGAGACGTTTCATGATATGAGGTTTTGAAGTTCCATAGAGTTATTTTATTTGAAGAGCTCAACACAATTTAAGTTCCATAGAGTTTCTTTATTTGAAGAGCTCAACACAATTTAAGTTCCATAGAGTTTTTTTATTTGAAGAGCTCAACACAATTTAAGTTCCATAGAGTTTTTTTTATTTGAAGAGCTCAACACAATTTAAGTTCCATAGAGTTTTTTTTATTTGAAGAGCTCAACACAATTTAAGTTCCATAGAGTTTTTTTTATTTGAAGAGCTCAACACAATTTAAGTTCCATAGAGTTTTTTTATTTGAAGAGCTGAACACAATTTAAGTTCCATAGAGTTTTTTTATTTGAAGAGCTCAACACAATTTAAGTTCCATAGAGTTTTTTTATTTGAAGAGCTCAACACAATTTAAGTTCCATAGAGTTTGTGATTTGAAGAACTCAATTTTGAAATTCTGCCCAAATTAGAGTTTCATCCCAAATTAGATTTTCAACACAAGCTGAACTTTTGGTCAGAATTGGACATATAGCCCAAGTCGGAGTTGAATTAATAATGAATTTCATTTTGAAGTTCCACGGAGTGAATTGAGGAATTCAAAGTTATTTCTTCAGAATTATTACTGCTGTTTTCTAAGTTGGGCCAAAGGTCGCTTTAGTTTTAGACTGGAGGCCCAATTAGTGCTATGCAGGAACTAGCTTACATTTGAAATGGCTGCTAGATGTAACTGTCAGTTCTTTGCTAAAAGTTTCTTTATTTGCACGTCTCACTTGCGGAATTCTCTTCCAACTTCTTATTTCCCAGTCAACGTTGATCTTCAATAATTTAAATTCAGTATCAATCATTATCTTCCCTTGTCTCAATATTTGTTCTTTTACTGTTCTTGCTCATTAATAATGCTTTTTTTCTCATATTCTCTAACACTTAGTAGCCTATTGCATCTTGACAAGACAAGAAGGTATTGCATCTTAGTGGTTTTATTGCCTTGTTTGTGGTGAAATGATTAAGAAAAGGTTGCAATATAACTATTTTATATAATGCCAATTTCATTATATACTAGTAATATTATATATTAACAATATTGTTATAGCAACATATTTTTATATACTATCAATATAATTTTATTACTGTTATATTTATCATGTTGGTATATAACAGGAACAGTTATATATAATATCAATATTGTTTTTATTTTTCAGTTCACATGTCAAGAGAATGATAAAAAAGTGAAGTTATCTCTAAGATAAAATGATGGCAACAGACGTCATAGAAAGAAGAAGATTAAAAACTAATAGAAAGAAAAAAGAAAATGAAGACGTCAAAGAATGAAGAAAATGAAAAAGTAAAAAAAGAAAAGAAAGAATGAAAATGAAAATGTCAAAAAAGAAGAAAATAAAGAAGTAATAGAAGGAAAAAGGAAAACGTCAAAAAAGAAGAAAATGAGAAAGAAAAAGAAAATGAAAAAAGAAAATGAAAACATCAAAGAAAGAAAAAAAGAAAAAAGTAATAGAAAGAAAAAAAAAAAATGAAAATGTCAAAAAAATAAAAAATAATAGAATGAAAAAATAAATGAAAGCATCAAAGAAAGAAAATGAAAACATCAAAAAAGAAAAAAGTAGTAGAACGAAAAAAGTAAATGAAAGTGTCAAAGAAGAAAATAAAAAAGTAATAGAAAGAAAAATGAAGATAAAAACATCAAAGAAAGAAGAAAATAAAAAGTAACAAAAAGAAAAAAGAAAGAGAAAACATCAAAGAAAGAAGAAAATAATAAAAAAGTAATAGAAAAAAGAAAATGAAAACATCAAATTATGAAGAAAATAAAAAAGTAATAGAAAGAAAAACAAAAATGAAAACATCAAAGAAAGAAGAAAATAAAAAAGTATTTGAAAAAAAATAAGAAAAGAAAAATACCAAAGAAAGAAGAAATTAAAAAAGTAAT